GGGGGGTTTAGGGGAGATTTGAGGGGTGGTTGGGGGGATTTGGGGAGGTTTGGATGGATTTGAGGGGGTTTGGGGGGGGATTTGGGGGGGCTGAAGGGGATTTGGGGAGGATTTGGGGTGCTCGGGTGGGATTTGGGAAGGATTTTGGGGGGTTGAAGGGGATTTGGGTGGGATTTGGGGGGATTTGGGAAGGATTTTGGGGGGTTTGGGGGGGATTTGAGTAGGTTTGGGAGAGATTTGGAGGGGGTCTGGATGGATTTGGGAAGGATTTCGGAGCGTGGAAGGGGATTTGGGGGTTTTGAGGGGATTTGGGGGTTTTGGGGGGATTTGAAGAGGTTGGAGGGGATATTTAAAGGAATTTCAGAGGATTTTGGGGCTATTTATGGGAATTTCAGGGAATTTCATGGAATTTAAGGGAGTTTCAGGGGATTTTGGGGCTATTTAAGAGAATTTCAGGGGATATTTCAGAGGATTTTCCGGCTGTTTCAGGGGATTTCAGGGATATTTAAGGGAATTTTAGGGGATATTTTAAGGAATTTCAGGGTAGTTGGGGGAATTTCAGGGAAATTTAAGGGAATATCAGGGAACTTAAGGAAATTTCAGAGGATTTTGGGGCTATTTCAGGGGATTTCAGGGACATTTTAGAAAATTTAAGGGGATTTTGGGGAAATTTCAGGGGGTTTTGGGGATATTTAAGGGAATTTCAGGGGAATTTCACGGGATTTTGGGGCTATTTCAGGGGATTTGAGGGATATTTAAGGAAATTTACTGGAATTTCAGGGGATTTAAGGTGATTTCGGGGCTATTTCAGCGGATTTCAGGGGATTTCGGGGCTATTTAAGGGAATTTCAGGTGATTTCGGGTCTATTTCAGGCGATTTCGGGGCTGTTTCAGGGGATTTCGGGTCTATTTAAGGGAATTTTGGGTGATTTCGGGGCTGTTTCAGGGGATTTCGGGGCTATTTAAGGGAATTTTGGGTGATTCCGGGGCTGTTTCAGGGGATTTCGGGTCTATTTCAGGCGATTTTGGGGCTATTTAAGGGAATTTCAGGTGATTTCGGGTCTATTTCAGGCGATTTCGGGGCTGTTTCAGGGGATTTCGGGGCTATTTAAGGGAATTTCAGGGGATTTTGGGGCTATTTAAGGGAATTTCAGGCGATTCCGGGGCTGTTTCAGAGAGTTTCGGGGCTATTTCAGGCTATTTATGGTGATTTCGGGTCTATTTATGGGAATTTCGGGTGATTCCGGGGCTGTTTCAGGGGGTTTCGGGTCTATTTATGGTGATTTTGGGGCTATTTAAGGGAATTTCGGGTGATTCCGGGGCTGTTTCAGGGGATTTCGGGTCTATTTCAGGCGATTTCGGGGCTATTTAAGGGAATTTCAGGCGATTCCGGGGCTGTTTCAGGGGGTTTCGGGGTAGCGCGGTGTTTGGCTTGCGGGGTGCCCACCTGGCGGCCCGCAGCACCTCGGGGTGCCGGCTCATGCCCAGGTAATCGTTGGAGCACCAGAGCTGCACCAGGCGGGGGGGGGTCCCCAGGAGGGCGCTCGGGGGGTCCCGCGCGCGCCGCGCCAGCGCCGTGAACTCGCGGTAGGTGTGGGAGCGGCGCAGCCCCGCCAGGCGCGCCCCCAAAACCGCCTCGTAGGGGAAAGCGTCCTCTGGGGGGGCACAGGGGTCAGGGGGGAGCCCCAAAACTGCCCCGAGCCCGAAACCGCACCCCGAAAATGCCCCGATCCCGAAATCCTACAGAGACCCCCCCAAAACCGCCTCGTATGGGAAAGCGTCCTCTGGGGGGGCAAAGGGGTGGGTTTTGGGGATATTTAAGGGAATTTCAGGGGAATTTCACGGGATTTTGGGGCTATTTCAGGGGATTTGAGGGATATTTAAGGAAATTTACTGGAATTTCAGGGGATTTAAGGTGATTTCGGGGCTATTTCAGCGGATTTCAGGGGATTTCGGGGCTATTTAAGGGAATTTCAGGTGATTTCGGGTCTATTTCAGGCGATTTCGGGGCTGTTTCAGGGGATTTCGGGGCTATTTAAGGGAATTTCAGGGGATTTTGGGGCTATTTAAGAGAATTTCAGGGGATATTTCAGAGGATTTTCCGGCTGTTTCAGGGGATTTCAGGGATATTTAAGGGAATTTTAGGGGATATTTTAAGGAATTTCAGGGTAGTTGGGGGAATTTCAGGGAAATTTAAGGGAATATCAGGGAACTTAAGGAAATTTCAGAGGATTTTGGGGCTATTTCAGGGGATTTCAGGGACATTTTAGAAAATTTAAGGGGATTTTGGGGAAATTTCAGGGGGTTTTGGGGATATTTAAGGGAATTTCAGGGGAATTTCACGGGATTTTGGGGCTATTTCAGGGGATTTGAGGGATATTTAAGGAAATTTACTGGAATTTCAGGGGATTTAAGGTGATTTCGGGGCTATTTCAGCGGATTTCAGGGGATTTCGGGGCTATTTAAGGGAATTTCAGGTGATTTCGGGTCTATTTCAGGCGATTTCGGGGCTGTTTCAGGGGATTTCGGGGCTATTTAAGGGAATTTCAGGGGATTTTGGGGCTATTTAAGAGAATTTCAGGGGATATTTCAGAGGATTTTCCGGCTGTTTCAGGGGATTTCAGGGATATTTAAGGGAATTTTAGGGGATATTTTAAGGAATTTCAGGGTAGTTGGGGGAATTTCAGGGAAATTTAAGGGAATATCAGGGAACTTAAGGAAATTTCAGAGGATTTTGGGGCTATTTCAGGGGATTTCAGGGACATTTTAGAAAATTTAAGGGGATTTTGGGGAAATTTCAGGGGGTTTTGGGGATATTTAAGGGAATTTCAGGGGAATTTCACGGGATTTTGGGGCTATTTCAGGGGATTTGAGGGATATTTAAGGAAATTTACTGGAATTTCAGGGGATTTAAGGTGATTTCGGGGCTATTTCAGCGGATTTCAGGGGATTTCGGGGCTATTTAAGGGAATTTCAGGTGATTTCGGGTCTATTTCAGGCGATTTCGGGGCTGTTTCAGGGGATTTCGGGGCTATTTAAGGGAATTTCAGGGGATTTTGGGGCTATTTAAGAGAATTTCAGGGGATATTTCAGAGGATTTTCCGGCTGTTTCAGGGGATTTCAGGGATATTTAAGGGAATTTTAGGGGATATTTTAAGGAATTTCAGGGTAGTTGGGGGAATTTCAGGGAAATTTAAGGGAATATCAGGGAACTTAAGGAAATTTCAGAGGATTTTGGGGCTATTTCAGGGGATTTCAGGGACATTTTAGAAAATTTAAGGGGATTTTGGGGAAATTTCAGGGGGTTTTGGGGATATTTAAGGGAATTTCAGGGGAATTTCACGGGATTTTGGGGCTATTTCAGGGGATTTGAGGGATATTTAAGGAAATTTACTGGAATTTCAGGGGATTTAAGGTGATTTCGGGGCTATTTCAGCGGATTTCAGGGGATTTCGGGGCTATTTAAGGGAATTTCAGGTGATTTCGGGTCTATTTCAGGCGATTTCGGGGCTGTTTCAGGGGATTTCGGGGCTATTTAAGGGAATTTCAGGGGATTTTGGGGCTATTTAAGAGAATTTCAGGGGATATTTCAGAGGATTTTCCGGCTGTTTCAGGGGATTTCAGGGATATTTAAGGGAATTTTAGGGGATATTTTAAGGAATTTCAGGGTAGTTGGGGGAATTTCAGGGAAATTTAAGGGAATATCAGGGAACTTAAGGAAATTTCAGAGGATTTTGGGGCTATTTCAGGGGATTTCAGGGACATTTTAGAAAATTTAAGGGGATTTTGGGGAAATTTCAGGGGGTTTTGGGGATATTTAAGGGAATTTCAGGGGAATTTCACGGGATTTTGGGGCTATTTCAGGGGATTTGAGGGATATTTAAGGAAATTTACTGGAATTTCAGGGGATTTAAGGTGATTTCGGGGCTATTTCAGCGGATTTCAGGGGATTTCGGGGCTATTTAAGGGAATTTCAGGTGATTTCGGGTCTATTTCAGGCGATTTCGGGGCTGTTTCAGGGGATTTCGGGGCTATTTAAGGGAATTTCAGGGGATTTTGGGGCTATTTAAGAGAATTTCAGGGGATATTTCAGAGGATTTTCCGGCTGTTTCAGGGGATTTCAGGGATATTTAAGGGAATTTTAGGGGATATTTTAAGGAATTTCAGGGTAGTTGGGGGAATTTCAGGGAAATTTAAGGGAATATCAGGGAACTTAAGGAAATTTCAGAGGATTTTGGGGCTATTTCAGGGGATTTCAGGGACATTTTAGAAAATTTAAGGGGATTTTGGGGAAATTTCAGGGGGTTTTGGGGATATTTAAGGGAATTTCAGGGGAATTTCACGGGATTTTGGGGCTATTTCAGGGGATTTGAGGGATATTTAAGGAAATTTACTGGAATTTCAGGGGATTTAAGGTGATTTCGGGGCTATTTCAGCGGATTTCAGGGGATTTCGGGGCTATTTAAGGGAATTTCAGGTGATTTCGGGTCTATTTCAGGCGATTTCGGGGCTGTTTCAGGGGATTTCGGGGCTATTTAAGGGAATTTCAGGGGATTTTGGGGCTATTTAAGAGAATTTCAGGGGATATTTCAGAGGATTTTCCGGCTGTTTCAGGGGATTTCAGGGATATTTAAGGGAATTTTAGGGGATATTTTAAGGAATTTCAGGGTAGTTGGGGGAATTTCAGGGAAATTTAAGGGAATATCAGGGAACTTAAGGAAATTTCAGAGGATTTTGGGGCTATTTCAGGGGATTTCAGGGACATTTTAGAAAATTTAAGGGGATTTTGGGGAAATTTCAGGGGGTTTTGGGGATATTTAAGGGAATTTCAGGGGAATTTCACGGGATTTTGGGGCTATTTCAGGGGATTTGAGGGATATTTAAGGAAATTTACTGGAATTTCAGGGGATTTAAGGTGATTTCGGGGCTATTTCAGCGGATTTCAGGGGATTTCGGGGCTATTTAAGGGAATTTCAGGTGATTTCGGGTCTATTTCAGGCGATTTCGGGGCTGTTTCAGGGGATTTCGGGGCTATTTAAGGGAATTTCAGGGGATTTTGGGGCTATTTAAGAGAATTTCAGGGGATATTTCAGAGGATTTTCCGGCTGTTTCAGGGGATTTCAGGGATATTTAAGGGAATTTTAGGGGATATTTTAAGGAATTTCAGGGTAGTTGGGGGAATTTCAGGGAAATTTAAGGGAATATCAGGGAACTTAAGGAAATTTCAGAGGATTTTGGGGCTATTTCAGGGGATTTCAGGGACATTTTAGAAAATTTAAGGGGATTTTGGGGAAATTTCAGGGGGTTTTGGGGATATTTAAGGGAATTTCAGGGGAATTTCACGGGATTTTGGGGCTATTTCAGGGGATTTGAGGGATATTTAAGGAAATTTACTGGAATTTCAGGGGATTTAAGGTGATTTCGGGGCTATTTCAGCGGATTTCAGGGGATTTCGGGGCTATTTAAGGGAATTTCAGGTGATTTCGGGTCTATTTCAGGCGATTTCGGGGCTGTTTCAGGGGATTTCGGGGCTATTTAAGGGAATTTCAGGGGATTTTGGGGCTATTTAAGAGAATTTCAGGGGATATTTCAGAGGATTTTCCGGCTGTTTCAGGGGATTTCAGGGATATTTAAGGGAATTTTAGGGGATATTTTAAGGAATTTCAGGGTAGTTGGGGGAATTTCAGGGAAATTTAAGGGAATATCAGGGAACTTAAGGAAATTTCAGAGGATTTTGGGGCTATTTCAGGGGATTTCAGGGACATTTTAGAAAATTTAAGGGGATTTTGGGGAAATTTCAGGGGGTTTTGGGGATATTTAAGGGAATTTCAGGGGAATTTCACGGGATTTTGGGGCTATTTCAGGGGATTTGAGGGATATTTAAGGAAATTTACTGGAATTTCAGGGGATTTAAGGTGATTTCGGGGCTATTTCAGCGGATTTCAGGGGATTTCGGGGCTATTTAAGGGAATTTCAGGTGATTTCGGGTCTATTTCAGGCGATTTCGGGGCTGTTTCAGGGGATTTCGGGGCTATTTAAGGGAATTTCAGGGGATTTTGGGGCTATTTAAGGGAATTTCAGGCGATTCCGGGGCTGTTTCAGAGAGTTTCGGGGCTATTTCAGGCTATTTATGGTGATTTCGGGTCTATTTATGGGAATTTCGGGTGATTCCGGGGCTGTTTCAGGGGGTTTCGGGGTAACGCGGTGTTTGGCTTGCGGGGTGCCCACCTGGCGGCCCGCAGCACCTCGGGGTGCCGGCTCATGCCCAGGTAATCGTTGGAGCACCAGAGCTGCACCAGGCGGGGGGGGGTCCCCAGGAGGGCGCTCGGGGGGTCCCGCGCGCGCCGCGCCAGCGCCGTGAACTCGCGGTAGGTGTGGGAGCGGCGCAGCCCCGCCAGGCGCGCCCCCAAAACCGCCTCGTAGGGGAAAGCGTCCTCTGGGGGGGCACAGGGGTCAGGGGGGAGCCCCAAAACTGCCCCGAGCCCGAAACCGCACCCCGAAAATGCCCCGATCCCGAAATCCTACAGAGACCCCCCCAAAACCGCCTCGTATGGGAAAGCGTCCTCTGGGGGGGCAAAGGGGTAAGGGGGGAGCCCCGAAATCATCATAACCCCAAAACCGCACCCCGAAACTGCCCCGAGCCCGAAACCGCACCCCGAAAATGCCCCGATCCCGAAATCCTACAGAGACCCCCCCAAAACCGCCTCGTATGGGAAAGCGTCCTCTGGGGGGGCACAGGGGTCAGGGGGGAGCCCCAAAACTGCCCCGAGCCCGAAACCGCACCCCAAAAAAACCCTGACCCTAAAACTGCACCCGAAAATCCTACAGAGACCCCCAAAACCGCACCCCAAAACTGGAGCCCAAAACTCTCCAGAGAACCC